AACTAAAGTAGCTATCTCGTTACAAAACGTACAGAATGTAAAGTCGCTTCTATAACATTATTGACTAAAGTAGGTATCTCGTTACAAAACTTACAGAATGAAGAGTTGCTTCTAAAACATTATTGACTAAAGTAGTTATCTCGTTACAAAACTTACAGAATGAAGAGACGTTTCTATAACATTATTGACTAAAGTAGTTATCTCGTTACAAAACTTACAGAATGTAAAGTCGCTTCTATAACATTATTGACTAAAGTAGGTATCTCGTTACAAAACTTACAGAATGAAGAGTTGCTTCTAAAACATTATTGACTAAAGTAGTTATCTCGTTACAAAACTTACAGAATGAAGAGACGTTTCTATAACATTATTGACTAAAGTAGTTATCTCGTCACAGAATGAAGAGTCGTTTCTATAACATTATTGACTAAAGTAGTTATCTCGTCACAGAATGAAGAGTCGTATTTAGAATGTTATCTCACATTTTTAAAGAATTAGATCATTTGTAAGAGGCGTAAAACAAACCTCTGAACTAAGTTGAATTATCTTTACTGTTTAATAGAACTAGATCACGATCACACAGAAATGAACAAGTTGATATTAAATGTTTAAAAGTTAGAGTTTAAACACTAAAAGCTGTCGAACTATTAGAAACAAACAGGCCTAAAATTGTTTCAAAGAACAAGTTAATTGAATTTTTTTTTCACATAGATAGTAAATGCTGTTTTTACACACCTCTGATTTCAAGCCACAATGAACAAATAAAGAGGAATGTGAAAAAAAAAACACATCTTCAGTTAACTTGATATTAAATCGCTTTAGTTTAGGTTAATCATGAATATTAGTTGGTTCCGTATTTGTTCATTTTATTATAAACCAGAAACCTTGAAACCTAATTGTAGAGCCTGTGAGCAACATGAATGTAAAATCAGTTTAAAATGAAATGAGCAGATAAGGAATGTTAATAAGTGATTTTCATTAATTTGATTAGTTTGAAATCTTTTTAATATACATCGAGAAATAATGTAGAATAATTGTATGTTTTCGAATGAGCTTAATTGCAAGGCTCATATTGTGAAATGGGCTTAAAGAAAAGTTAAGTCATCGATCTTAAAAAGTGGGAATGAAATTATATATAGGTCTGATGTTGAGAAAGTGAGCAGAAAAAAACAACAACGAAAAGCTGAGTTTTGTAGGTTGCGTGTTGTGGAAAACGTTTTATAATATATTTAGTATGTAGGAAATGTTATGTTTATTTTCCAAGAACTTTATGATTATCAAAACTTAGCTGTAAAAAATTATCTTTTTAACTAGGGTGGCATTTAATAATATGTTTATACTGTATGTTGTATGTAGAGTCACGTGATTAAAGGGCGATTCTGCATGTTCGGAGGAATGTCTTCTTCCCTTAAGATGGCGTATTAAATAACATGTTTATTAACTAAGTATCCCAAAATTCTCAGATATGATTATCTAAGTTTGATTTCATGGATTTTTCCAACTATATTATGTCTGAGTTCATTCTTAAGATATACATTACTAGATAATATTCCAAACCAAATAAAAACTTCTATATATTAGTCCCATGGATATAACGAAAATAGTCTTTCACTAGCATTATTGTTTTAACATTTCCTATAAAGTACAAAAAATAGTAACAAAAATATAAATTGTTCTACTTGCACCGTTATTACTGGACGCCATATTGAAAGTCCTTCGGATGACATATTTATCTTTGCACTTGCATAACCTATGATAGTTTATAATGACGAAAGTGCCAACGTAGCACTCAAAACCTTATCTTAGGATGTACAATAGTCAGTCTGTCAGCAGATGCTGTATAGGACAAGGTGCTGTTAGACACCATTCTGAGAGTCGTTACCAGCTTAGTATATATAACAAATCCTTACATCACTCTATGCATTTAAGCTACAACGAGGGCTAAGGTCCCTGTCTTGAACTTTCATAGGAGTTAGACATCACTGGAGCTTCGAGGAGGGGGATGCTTTCGGAGGCCACATAAAGGGGAATTGCTGCATCCAGTGATAGTGTACACCTCTCAAAAGGAGGATATAGACGGAAAGGAAGAGGCTTGAGAGGTCCAGAAGAAGAATGTTTAAAATAATTGTTCAAGCTTGTCAGATGATGCCGTGAAAACGAAGACGTGAACCGAGAAAGCCAGTAAGGCGATGTTTGCATCATTCTTTGGACGGCTGCAACGTTTCCAGCCTCAGTAAGCAGTTCTATCCCAACTGTGGTCTGTCTTTTCCACTTCGTCCTAAAACAAACAAAATTGAAGTTAAATAGAACAAAATATAAAATGAATACTATTATCATTAATAGTAAAATTAGTACTATTATTATTAATAGTATTTCCGATATTAATTACACTGTGACACAGAAAATACAAGGTGATGCAAGACATGTGAACCACAAATATGAATTTTTTTACTTCTGATTTTATAGCTGTCTTGAATGTACACTCAAGTTGTGGTTCACGTTCTATAACCTTTGCGGTGTTACACTTGCACAGATTGCTGGGATTCTCTGTTTCAAATCTTCCAGATTGTTTATACGTTTGATGAATACTAACTGTTTGATGTATCATCAAAAGAAAAAGTTTCGTATATCTCTACTCTTCTTCAACGAGATCTTGAAGGTTGATGACATACCAGTAATTATTGTAACAGAAAAATAGAGACAAACACAATAATAAAAAAAAAAAACAGAGTTAGGTTGTGATTTATATTTATGTATATATATATATATATATATACTGGTGCGTGATTTATACATCACCCATACAATATTTGACCTTTAACTTCAGTTCCTAACACCCGTTTGTCACTAATTGTTACCCTAAGTGTTTTCAACTTATTCTATTACAGAAATGATGAACAAAACAGTCTCTTAACTGATACACTTCCAAGTCTGGTCTGACTTCATCTTCCACTTTACAGATTTTAAAACTTATTTTCTATACCAAAAGTAAATAATACCAGCATATAACTTAACTGATACACTTCCAAGTCTGGTCTGACTTCATCTTCCACTTTACAGATTTTAAAACTTATGTTTTTATACTAAAAGTAAATAATACGAGCATATAACTTAATTGATACACTTCCAAGTCTGGTCTGACTTCATCTTCCACTTTACAGATTTTAAAACTTATGTTTTTGTACTAAAAGTAAATAATACCAGCATATAACATCATAGTCTTATCTGCTGTCCCTTTTCACTTAAATAAATATTTTGTGTTATTCAGTATACACGGCTGATTTATTACTAACCTTACACTCTGGTCCAAGGTTTGTTTTACCTTTTCATAATAAACAAGAAAAACAAATGTAAGTATTACTTTCATAATAAATTATTAAATTATAATTCGTAAATAATAATGATGAGGGTAATGTTCACCACTATTTCCAAGAAAGTCTATCCAGAATATGAACAACGAAACGTAGGTGTTGCATGTTAGTTTTCTGAAGTAATCATTTAGTCCATTTAGAATGTAGGCGGTAAAGAAACTCAGATGTTGCCTGTCAGCCTCTATAGAGGAGAAATAAAACAATTCACCCAATAAGTCAACAACAAAGAAGTTTAAGTGTTGTGTAGTAATAACAATGTATTTAGTAATAACAATGTTCAAGTGTTATTTGTCGCTTGTTCGCAGTAATGATATAGATCATAAAAAGAACGTCACACAACTCCAACACTGTCCATCAGCCAATGATATATATATATCATCAACTTGTAAACAGCAGTGAAGTTGAAAGTAGTCAATATATAGTATTACAGCCAATACAGTATATATAAAAACAAATAATAAGTATTGTTACGGAAATAACATCCAAAACTGGAGTAATAAAGGAATTCAACTTTGTCATTTCTCCTTTTGCAGCAATACTCCAGCCCATCCAAAAACATAAACATTAAAGAAACTAGGTGTAAACAGCAGAAAATGAAATAAGTTCCAGTGTTATCTTTTTCTGCCGTAATAATACATTAACCATTTAAAATGATTTTTGTTACGGAAATAACTGCTAAACAGTAAGGAAATTCACATGCTGTCAAGGTTGTTAGTAATACTATTAAGACACATTCGGTTCCTTTCTTTGTCTGTTATTAAGAACGAAGCTACATAATGGGCCATTTATCCTGTTCCTACCACGGGTATCGAACCCAGATTTTTAGCGTTATAAGCCTTATCGCCGACCAGCTAGGGAACATTAAATTAGTTAACCACAGAGAGATTTATACGTATTTTTGTCATTCTGTTGCGGAGAAAACATACAAAATCTAACAGTAAACAAACAGATACCCCAGAGAATACAAATCGATCATCTCTATGACCTCATATATAAGATAACTCCGACCTAAGAATACAGGTTTATCTCGGTATGGACCATACAGTACAACAGACAGGCCGCGAATGAAACTAACCACATGGTCGTTAGATGGACTATGGGAGAGCGGTCATATCAGCGAGAAATAGTCAGGCAACTTGCAATACCGCTGTCTACAGTTTATACGGTGACAACACAGTTCCAGTCATGCCGCACAGTTTCGGTACGGCTTGGCACCCGAAATCACTAGAACGCAAACGAAGTGTGGGAAATGATCCACGTCACACTGTTGTAGAATGTGGTTGTTGCTCATTCAGCCTAAGTCATAGATAGCTTGAAGTCAGAAAACCCCTCTCCCGTGGTCAAGCCAATCGCCGGATATGAACACCACTCTCCCGTAGTCAAGCCAATCGCCATATGAACTCTATCGAACATGTGTGGTCCATCCTCGATCGTACCTTCTGAACTAAACAAGTATTTCTAGAACAACCTCCCCACCCCATACAAGTTCTTGCCAGGAAAGGGATACACTTCCATAGGCTCAGAATCTCGTAGATACGATGTGTAGCTCCTTAAACATTTCAAAGTACAAATCTACTAAGTACTGATCAAAATGTTGAACTGTGAAATTTATAAACTGTGTGGTCTATACATGATGAAAATAACAAGATAATACAAGTGTCGTCTTTTTACAGATACAATAAACAATACATAAACAACAAGGAAGTTGTAAGATGTTTCGGCCATTTTGTTATTTTAATTATCCAGTTGATCCAGTATAGTTCACCTAGCACATACAACAATAAAAGTAACTATACGATTTCTGCCAGCCAATGAACGTACCATTAATTATAAATGCAATACATAATAATAAATTAGTTCGGAAGCACTAGCTCTCACCTTCTGTTTTGGTACCAAGTCTTAATGTGTGTGTCGGTTAGGTTTAGTTTCGCTGCTAGCTCTGCTCGCTCCTGTACACTTAAGTACTTTTGTCGTTCAAACGTTTTCTCTAATGTCTGTACCTGATGATCAGTAAAAGCTGTTCTAGCTTTTCTTTCTTTCTTATTCTTGAAGACGTATGATGAGTCTGTGTTCTTTCTTTCATCATTCTTGTCCGCAACACCTGAAAAAAAAAAGATGCAACTAGTATCAAACAAGCCATTCATATGAGTTGACAAACCGTGAATAGCGGAATAAGGTTTTATGCGGTTAAAATGTGCTACAGATTATAAATAAAATTCTATGTTAGTTGGAACGCGTTTCTTTAAGAATGTTCGAAAGGAGAAACCATTTATATTTACTCTCATGTAAAAGTCATTGTTTTCAATACTTGTCAGCTATACTCTTGTCAGTCGGACATTTAATATATGCAATAAATCTTACAACATACTATCACAGCACTTACCTGATTGTTTTAGCTTCTCTATCCACTCACTGTTACCGCACAGCTAATATATAGACGTATACAATAAACCATACATCTAAGAACTACAGTTAACACATTCTTGTAGATGAATTGTCAGCACATTCTTGTTATACTGGTACTGGAAGTGTATAATAAATTATACACATGAGGACTATAGAGTTAACTAGTTCTTGTAGCTGATCTATCAACACACTCTTATTATACTGGTACTGGAAGTGTATAATAAACCATGCACATAAGGACTATAGAGTTAACTAGTTCTTGTAGCTGATCTATCAACACACTCTTGTTATACTGGTACTGGAAGTGTATAATAAATTATACACATGAGGACTATAGAGTTAACTAGTTCTTGTAGCTGATCTATCAACACATTCTTGTTATACTGGTACTGGAAGTGTATAATAAATTATACACATGAGGACTATAGAGTTAACTAGTTCTTGTAGCTGATCTATCAACACACTCTTATTATACTGGTACTGGAAGTGTATAATAAATTATACACATGAGGACAATAGAGTTAACTAGTTCTTGTAGCTGATCTATCAACACACTCTTATTATACTGGCACTGGATGTGTATAATAAATTATACACATGACGACTATAGAGTTAACTATTTTTTGTAGCTGATCTTTCAACACACTCTTGTTATACTGGTACTGGAAGTGTATAATAAATTATACACATGAGGACAATAGCGTTAACTATTTTTGTAGCTGATCTATCAACACACTCTTGTTATACTGGTACTGGATGTGTATAATAAATTATACACATGAGGACAATAGAGTTAACTATTTTTGTAGCTGATCTATCAACACACTCTTGTTATACCGGTGCTGGATGTGTATAATAAACCATGCACATAAGGACTTTAGAGTTAACTAATTCTTTTAGCTGATCTATCAACACACTCTTGTTATACTGGTACTGGAAGTGTATAATAAATTATACACATGAGGACAATAGAGTTAACTATTTTTTGTAGCTGATCTATCAGCACACTCTTGTTATACTGGTACTGGATGTGTATAATAAACCATGCACATAAGGACTTTAGAGTTAACTAATTCTTTTAGCTCATCTATCGACACGTTGTTGTTACACTGGTACTAGACGCATATAATAAACCGTTCATACCAATCTTATATAGGTAATTAATTGTTGTAGTTAATCTACTGACACATTATTGTCGTTATACTGGTACTAGACGTGTAAAATAAGCCATTCATACGAGTCCTATACAGATAACTAAGTGTTGTAGCTGATCTATTGACACACTGTTGTTGCAGTGGTACTAGACATATACAATAAACAATTCCTACAGATTTAATTAATTGTTGTACAACAACCTGCACATTAAGCGATTTTACAATTATTTAAGTAATTGTAGCTGATTTTTTCAGCTCTCTATTGTTATCTAGGTATTAGATGTTTAAAATAAATGTATAGTTATTATGCGCAGACTTTAAGTTGCTACTGCAGCTGAATTTTCAATGAACCGTACCCATAACGACTGTACAGAGACTGTAGTATGTCTAATTGTTAAAAACTGATGGACACTACCTACATGTTTTGTTATTATTACAGTATTATTATCTATTGTACATAGTTATGTAACGTGGAAAATCGTTTAGGCTTAAATGTACGACAGACACGCCTTAGAATGCTGCGGAGCCATTAATTCATCAAGTGTAAAGCAGTGTAACAAGGAGGCTCATTAAGTGAAAGTGGACGACAGACAGGACTTATAATCCTACACAGTCACTAATTCATCAAGTGTAAAGCAGTATAACAAGGACGCTCGATAAGTGAAAGTGGACGACAGACAGGACTTAGAATCCTACACAGTCACTAATTCGTCAAGTGTTAACAAGGACGCTCGGTAAGTGAAAGTGGACGACAGACAGGACTTAGAATCCTATACAGTCACTAATTCATCAAGTGTAAAGCAGTGTAACAAGGATGCTTACAGTCAGTATAATAAGTTCCTTGTATGATTTTTGAATAATGTAAAATAGGGCGGTTGATGACTTTGAAGGATGTTGGTGAGTTTTTAATAGTGTATTGTTTTTCTAGCAGTGTGAGGGTGTTTAAAGTTTCAGAGTGTTAAAACATTTAAATGCTGCTTTTTTAAAGAACAGGCTCAGAAAATCATCAAAATCGATGTAATATACATTTAAAAGTACCAATGTGTCCAGTTGCTACATTTAAAAGTATCAATGTGTTACAGTTGCTACATTTAAAAGTACCAATGTGTCCAGTTGCTACATTTAAAAGTACCAATGTGTCCAGTTGCTACATTTAAAAGTATCAATGTGTTACAGTTGCTACATTTAAAAGTACCAGTGTGTCCAGTTGCTACATTTAAAAGTACCAATGTGTCCAGTTGCTACATTTAAAAGTACCAATGTGTCCAATTGCTACATTTAAAAGTATCAATGTGTTACAGTTGCTACATTTAAAAGTACCAATGTGTCCAGTTGCTACATTTAAAAGTACCAATGTGTCCAGTTGCTACATTTAAAAGTATCAATGTGTCTAGTTGCTACATTTAAAAGTTTCAGTGTGTCCAGTTGCTACATTTAAAAGTATCAATGTGTTCAGTTTCTACATTTAAAAGTATCAGTGTGTCCAGTTGCTACATTTAAAAGTATCAATGTGTCCAGTTGCTACATTTAAAAGTTTCAGTGTGTCCAGTGTGTTTATTCATCAGAAAAAAAAGTTAATACGTTTATGAAGAGTGTATAAGCCTCCAGAGTATGGAAGATATATGTATATATAGTTGACATTTATTTCATCATATATTAAATAGAACCTAGTGTTCATTATTCTTTTCTACAAAACACAAGTAATCGTTTTGGTGTTAAATATATGGTAAACAGTAACTAAGAAATAAGTCTTAGGATTCATAACACTAAAATTCGGAGTTAAATATCTTCGCTATGGCACAACACAGATAGCCCATTATGCAGCTTTGTGCTTAAAACAATAAAAAAACAACAAAAAACTGGCTCTTTACTCAACTTTCTTGAATCTAAAATTAGGAATGTTTAATTAATTTTTATATTCTGTGGTCAGGAGACTTTAATTGCAGTTTTATGAAAACTTATGAGTAATTTTTACTCAGAACTTGTAAGTTTCTCGGGGAGTTTTAAAGATTTTCATGTATATTCCGAAAATGTAATTTCTACAAACGTTAATACTGTGCAAGGTCATGTGTCAAATTCGTTAAACTCTGTGCTTCACAACTTCAAGGCAGCCGTGACCTTCATTTATAACTTGAACAGAACATGTATTTCCATAACCCTGTTTCAGCATTGTTTTCAGGATAACCTGTATTTCCACAACCCTGTTTCAGCATTGTTTTCAGGATAACCTGTATTTCCACAACCCTGTTTCAGCATTGTTTTCAGACCTCAAAAACGTCTGAGAATTTTTCCTTAGTATAATGAATTCCAACGATTTAATGCTCAAATATAACGTATGAGTTAATATGTTTATCGTTTGTCCATTGCTTACTAAAGAACATTTAAAGTTTCATGTATCAGTCACTCACGTATTTCAAAACCAATGTGACGTTTGAATCCACCAACATAAACTTTAGTACTTTGTGTAGTAACTAGTTCATAGTATTTACTGATTTCTGGCTACCACTTCAACTTAATTATGGTTCTGCGGTAAGTCTAAAGGCTTATAACGCTAAAACAGAGTTTCAACGCTCATGGGGGGCTTTGTGCATGCCTAACAACAACAAACAAATAAACGACCTTAATTTTAACCTGCCACTTTATAAAATGCCGTAAGATATTTGTATCTACAGGTAAAATTATACGTAATAAATAATGGATGCAGAATTAGCTCAATGTTTCAGTTATTGTCAAATAATTACTAGTTGCATGAATTTAACAGTTGTGTATTATTTAAATCAACAGCGATATCGGTCACTTGATACAGAACTTACATCGTCCTTTTTTAGTGTCGCTTTAAGCCTTCCAATCATTTCCCTCAATTTTAGATTTTTACTGGCTTAACACGCTTCCAAAATCAATATTATATTTCACTAGGAAAATAGTCAAACAGTAATTAGTGTTCAGTTTTCTTTTTTATACTTTATAACGGTCCACCCTTACCGTCTTTTTTATTCTGTTTCTACATATAATAAGTTGAGTTTTGATATATTTTCTCTCATTAAATGAATACTAAAGCAAATGCCAGGTGTACCAGGAGTTTTAGGTATTGTCCGTGCAAGAATTATACTCCCACCATTAAATTCAAGTACACTAAAATTTGATAAACGTTTTCTATCTATTACTTTTACATGGTAACAATTAAAAAGTAGATTATACGTATTTTGAAATAATTAGAAAGATAAGTAGTTGTTAACAGTACGCATTAATTATTTAACGTTTGTTGTTAACAGTACGCATTAATTATTTAACGTTTGTTGTTAACAGTACGCATTAATATTTAACG